GTGAACTCTATGTCCACAAAAAAGGCTATCTAGAACTATCAAGAGCTTCAGAGTGGAACGAAGATTATTGCTCACTAAACCTATATAACAAGATTTAAGGGAATGCAATACTTTCCAAGTTTTTGGGTTTGTAAATGGTCAATGCATATGCGAATTACTTTTGATGCCTATTTCATAATCAGTTTGAACATATGGGTAATACTTGGCACACCTCTTGATTTTTAGATTTTCAAATTTAAACCCTGAAGCCTAAATTACTAAACCCTTAAACCCTAAAGCCTAAATCCCTAAACCCCTAAGTCTTAAATTTGTTATATAAAATGCCTTTGGTAGCATGCATGTCCTCCGATGGGGTAGGAGCCATGTATTTTCCTAGATTTGTAGCTGATGATACTTAGAAAATTTGTATGGCAATCTCTATTCTTTTGTAACAATGATTAAACTTTTAACTTGTTAATACTTCCCTACGCAGGTCATGCTTGTTATAGTCATTAGTCATTTGAGCTTGGTGTTATTGATAAAATTTTTGGATTTATGGGAATTTCTTTGATATATTCATGCATGCATGTGTGTTTTCTACTATATTCATATGTTTCATATGCATATCATCTCTCTTGAAAATGCATTTTTTATATAACTAGTGGGGTTCCATTGCATTGCAAGGTAGATAAGAATACAAGTACACATTAAATAGGCAATTTTATTCATCTAGGCAGATTTAAAGTTAGCTAGTTGGGTAAATGAAGCAAATTAATTTAGTATAATTTAATTAGTTGATTAAATATGGTAAATTAATTAATTAATAATTTTATTCATCTAATTAAATACTTAAATTACATTAATTGCTCAAATTTTAAAACAATTAATTTTACAATTACAATTAATTAATTTAAAGTAATTAATAAAGTCTTAAAAAATACATTTAAGCGAAATTAAGTAACTTAACATATGATATGCACTAAGACATTTTACCAAGTGTATATACTCTTAAAGGGGTTGGGGGAAGGGATGAGAGGGAGTGGTCGAATTCTTGGAGAGAAAAAGAGAGTGAGAGGAGAGATAATGTTTTAAAATATTAGCTTACTTTTGTTCCATTAGATTGAGATGTTAAAGAGATGTAGATAAAAAGACCCAACTTGGCCCAAAAATTCTAGGCTTGGTCCCAAGTTTTGTGTTTAAACTTGGTTTGGGCCTGGCCCTACAAATTTTTAGCTCAAGCTTTGGCCCAATATTTTAGTCCATCTCGAGCTCACATTAGGCTCACAAATTTCCAAGTCAGCTTGGGCCTAACCAACCTAAGCCTGACCTAACTCAAAAATTCAAGGCTTGGGCCTAGGTATTTTGTTCAAGCCTGGCCCCGAGCTTGAGTGCACATTAGGCCCACAAGTTTCCAAGTTAGGTTTGTTTCCAATATTTCAATCCCAACTCGGGGCTTGCATAAATGAAATATAATTAGAATACTTAATTAATTGATTAATTGAAAAATATATTAAAAATTTTATTATCTTGTAAATAATATTAAAAGTTCATGGAGAGAATAGTTGAAGCTAAATGAAAATTTGAAAATAAAGATAAATGAAAAATGAGAAATAGTGTAATAGTGGGAGTGGAGAGAGAGAGAGGGCTATCACAGGTTGGGTCCAGGTAGAACCAAAACCAACTCGACAATAATTACTAAGGACCCGGAACCGAACTAAACCCAATAAGGTCTATAATTTTAGACCTAGAATTGAACTTATCAGTTTTCAGGACAATAGAGTATGACCCAATTATAATAAACCCATTAAAAGTATTATATATAATCTTAACCAATCCAATTGGTTCAGGCCCGTTGGGTCCAACCCGACCCATTGATAGTCCTAGAGAGAGAGAAGGGGTTAAGTAAAAAATCAAGGTTATACATACTAAAAAATATTAATCATTATTTTTTATGGCACTCTTGTGATTACATGAAAACTCAATGTCATATACACAACTAAAAGGGGCAATGATTGCTTTCCAATGGCACTCTTATAATTAATAAAAAATTCAAGGTGACAAATAATGAACTCTTATAATTAGATGAAATTCAATGTCATATGCACAACTAAAAAAGAGGCAATTATTGCTTTCAATGGCACTTCTGTAATTACCAAATGCTCATGAACATCCACATGCCCTACTGGTGCTAAAACAATAGAATATGTCACACACTCATCCTTTGCATGTTCAGATTCCATTTAAAGTAAAATGGGTGCTTTGATTGTACCTATTTTGCTTTTAGTATATATATGATACTTTGATCATATGGGCGGTTGCCATGACTTTTTCCCCTCTTGCACC